CGATTGCCCAAGGGGTTTGTGAAATACTGTGGTTGAGGTGGTTACTTGCTGAAATTGGGTTTAGACTGAATGCTGCTACAAAGCTCCACCGAGATAATAAGTCTGCATTTGAAATTGCTAACAATCCGGTGCAACATGATCGAACTAAGCATGTAGAAGTTGATTGGCATTTCATTAAGGAGAAGCTGGAGCATATGTTAATTTCTCTAACTTTTGTGCATTCCTCAGAGCAGCTTGTAGATATATTGACCCATGCCGTGTCAAAGTGTCAATTTGAAGACTACCTTGACAAGTTGGGCATTACCGATATTTACGCACCAACTTGAGGGGGAGTGTTGGCTTGAGTCCACGTTCCTATTAGGAATAGAATTTGTTCTTATTAGGAATAAAATTTATATTTTATTATAATTATCTAATTTCAGTATAATTAGGAGATTTTATGCATATTTCCCATTTGTAACCACTCTGTGTGTAGTATATATATTCCTCCTTGAGAGAAGAATAAACATATCAGTTTAAACCCTAATTATTTTCAGTTCCTTCCATCAATAAACCTACTTTAGGCATTTTGCTTGGACGATTTGTCAAATAGATTAAGTCAAAACAAGCTTCTGGCATGGATTGTTCAATCAATTTTAGCTAATTTCGTTTTAGAAAATTGTAGTTGGGGTACTTCTTTGTATTTCTTTTCCAATAAAAATATGGTAACTTTTTTTTGTCTTTCTTCTATACATAGATATTGTGGAAAGGGGATTCAATAGTCTCCTCAAACTAAACTCTTAAAATTGTGGTTTGTTGACGTACGAGTATTGTAGCAAAGGGCAGATTTACAAAACAGCTTCAGCCCATGCTAATTTTGGAGAATAGGCCTAGTGGTACAGGACCAGCCTTGGTAAATCAAATAATAGCCCACCCCTCTATGTAGAATTAAGCCCACGTGTCCATGTAGAAATAGGCCCAGGTCTGAACCATCACTACTTTTTTCTTTTTCTTTTTTGGCCACCCATAACTCCATAAATTGAACTTCGTGAGCTTAGAAGAAGTAGCTCTCTTTCTCCAAAATTCTATCAACCTCTCTTCGGTGGCTTCTTCAATCTTAGTTAGTTTCTCTCTTTCTTTTTATTCAATTTCAAATTTTAATTGTTACTGTTAAGTTTTTATGATTTAGGGTTTGGGTGTTAAGTTTTGGGGATTTTTTCTTATGCAATTTGTTGGGATGATCCTTTTTCTTGTTTAATCTAGTTCTCTCGTGATTTTGTTGAATGATTGTAGCATTTGACAATTAGATAATGTAATTATGCTCTCTTTTTTCGAAGGTCTCCAATAACAATAAGCTACAACTTTGTTATTGTAATGTAGTCATATAAAGTTAAGTTGAATAGAATACCTCGAGTGCTTGCTAGTAAGTCAGTCACAATTAGATTGTGATAAGATATTCCATAATTTTATTACAATGTACAATATATGCGAAAATTATTCTCTCGTTTTGCATCTTTAATTAAAATAAATAAAAATGAGTTGTAATGCATAATACTGATACATAATTCTCCCAAAAGCACTATTGATAAAAGCTCTAGGAAGCAAACATATATTCTACTTTTTAGAAGTACCGCCACGAACTCTCCTGCTAGAACTGAGGAAATACACAAAAAGTTTCATGACATCATGGATTGCTTTGATGCCTATAGAATTGGCATGATTGAAAATTCAAAACAAAAGCAAAACAGAATTTGTTTTAATAGGAAAAACAAAAAAGAGTTGGTGAGGGATGGCTAAACAGTATTGTAACTCCAATTCGTTACGCATCGTTTTGGCACCTCAAAATTCCTGGCAGAAATCGACCAAATATATCTTGCCAAATCATCTAAAAATAGAGCTCAATCAATTTTGTAATGTCCAAATAATTGAAGTATACTCCATATGTTTGTCCATAGCCCTTAATTGTAAGACAATTCATTGTCTTAATTCACAAAGTGTGGTCTTCTAATCATACGTGGACTCTAGAAGTTTGCCTGATCAAGAAGTAAAGCTCAAGCTTATCGGATTTCTTGTACAAAGCTATTCTAATTGTGTTAAAAAATTATAATATATATAGGCTTATTTATGTACATGCCCCTTATGCTTTCAAAGTTGTCCAGATTACTACATATTCTTTGAAACATCTTAAAATACCACCTACACTTTTAATAACTGTCCCACGTTACCTATTCTGTTAGTATTAAGAGACGTTCCATTACGTGAATGGTTTATGAGTAATTTGGAGTATGTGTTGGTGGTGGGTGGAGATTTTTGGGAGAAAAATCTTCTGGAGGCTATTGTGATGACTGGATGAGGCTTGGTTGTGGGTTCAAAGGTTGAGAGGGTGAAGAGGAGGAGGGTGATGAAGACCAAAAGGGCACATATGGAAATTGTGAATTGGGCTTTGGACAAAAGGAGATTATTGGAATTGGTTCGTCTGAATACTCCAAGAAGTGGGGGCCACATCACGTAACAGAATGTCTCTTAATATTGACGAAATAGGTAACGTGAGACAGTTATTAAAAGTGTATGTGGTATTTTGAGACGTTTCAAAGAATAGGTGGCAATCTGAGACAACTTTGAAACCACAAGGGGTATGTACATAAATAAGCCATATATATATTAATTTATTTAATAATTGAATGGAAATTAAATTGTGGGACTCGTGACTTTAAGTAGGGGTGGGCATAAAAACCGAATTACTGAATGAATCGACCAAACCAAACCAAACCAAACCAAATTGAAAAAGAAGGATTTTTTGACCAAACCAAAAAAGTCAACGTTGGACCTGACCCGAATCGTTGACTTCGATTCAGGCTTCGAGTTAAAAAAATTTTAAACTGGTGAACCTGAATCAAACCGCATAATATGTAATTATATGTGCATTTTCCATGTGTCATTGTCTGATTGGCCCAAAGAAGCACTGGATCATTACCCTCACTAAGCAACCTAACCTAACTCACTCTCTCTCTCTCTCTCTCTCTCACAGCCCTAACTCACACTCACCGCCTCTCTCTCTCTCTCTCGATCTCACCCGCTCCTGTCGTCCTCACCAAATCGACGGCGACGACTACCGCTACGGCGTCATCATTGTCCTAGTCACTATCTCTCTCTCTCTCTCTCTCTCTCTCTCTCTCTCTCTCTCTCTCTCTCTCACCCCCTCTATCTCTCTCTCACCTCACCCTCTCCTCTCTCTCTCTCTCTCTCTCTCTCGCTCTGCACCTCTCTTTCTGACAACAAGGAACCATAAGCACCTTTGACAACAATCCCCCATAGTTGAAGACCCAGATCAAGCTTTCATGTCTGATGTAGTAAGTAATCTTTTCTTTTCCCCAGCCAAGTGACATGTCTTTTCTTTAGTAATCTTGAAATGTGCAGATCTTAAAGTACAAAAACACGTAGATATTTATTTTACGTGGTAAAACCTCACCTCTGGAGAAAATTTACGGGACTCCTTAGTTCAGAACAAATCCACTATAGAATTGAGATTACAAGAAGTACCCACACACTTATCCTAGACTCAATCTAGATAAAGTTTACCGACTTCTGTGTAACTCAACTTCTGTCACAGGATGATCTTCGACATTTCTTATGTTGAATTAATGCAATACTGGTCCCGATTGCTTCAAGCTCACCGAAGAATAAACGCCACAACATTCTTGGTGCCTTCAACCGTATGAGTCACCGACATGAATATGTATGGAATATAAATGATGAAAAGATTCGATAAATCACCAAGCAACGAGAGAGCACTTGATGACTTACCGAAGAAATTAACCACAACAGCTTTCTCAAACAAATTCAATATATCAAAAGTTTAATACGTAGAAAGCTTGCTCTTTGAAAAGAAGACCCTTTGGTTTTATTCAAAACAGGTTATCTCACCCAAGAGAAACCTACGTGACCACCAAATCCTATTCAACAAAGACCTTCAACCTTATTCAACGATCCTTACAAAACCTGATACAATATGGTGTGTTTATTAAGACGCCAAACATAAAATAAAATACTATCTAATGATGAATATGAATTGTGATTCAATATGAACTCTTAGTGAGGACACCAAACATCCATTTTTATAAAGAAACAATTATCTCCTAAAACAAGTTAATTAGGAGATGAGCATGGTGGACGTCACTATAGGAACCACTAATATTATAACTTAAATCACAATGACATTGAAAATAACTACAACTATAAATCCTATTGTGAATGCATGATTATGTCATGATTTACCTGTTGTCAAGTTTCTCATATCGGTCAAGTCATGCCTTGGAAGTATGGGATTAAATGAGTTGTGCCAAAACATCCAGTAACAATTCCTCACATACTAATTTTCAACCTATGCTAGAGTTTAGGAAATGCTAATACAATTTTCGTACTAACAGGTTTAGAAAAATAATGCGTAGAAACTCCACTAGAACTTTGTAGCGTTTATGCTCTCATTCCTTTCAAATTTTATATTTCGCAAGCCCTCTAACATCAATTTCTGACTCCGCCACTTATAGACAGTTTGGGCATTTTGGACTAACTATACAGCTTACAAGACTATCTTTCGGGGGGTAGGGGTTCAATTGAAAAGGCAATTGTTATGAACTTTTATTAATCAATGAAAATAAATTACAACTAGAAGAGCGAGAAATCAAGCGACCTTGTGTGGACTAAAAAATTAATAACAAGGTAACGACATTCTGATAGCTGTAAATATTTAAAGAAATTAGGTATATCTTGTAGTATCAGGGAGTGGTGTGCCATCAAGGAAGTGCTTGACGAGGGAAAGTCCTCTTGCAGGCTGATAGCTTGGCACTTGATGCCCTGCCCCTCTCACTGTAGCAAATGTTAGCTCTCCTTCATACACTTGTGTGTAACCACCAACCTGTTGCACAAGACAAATATATAAATAAATAAAACATCCAAAATAATTAACGCCAGTGGTTTTGAAAATCCAAAGACAATAAAAAGATGGAGAAATGAGAAGCTACCTCTCCACCAAGAAACCAAGCATGCCATTCAGTCTTTATTGGAAGATTCAGCTTTTCAATAGAATATTTTGTTGAAGTGACTGGTACCCTTGCATCTATGTCTCCACTGCACTCATTATTTCCATAAGAATGAGCTGGTATTAGCTTTAGATTTCAAATACTGAAACTCCAGAAAAGCAAATTGCAAGTTTAATATGATGAAGAAGAAGAAGAGTATCAAAATTTCACCTAAAAATCCACAGTCGAACATCATTAGCCAGGAACTCTTTTAAAAGGGGCAGTACGGTCGATGCACCATCGGCCCAGTTTGCGATAACATCACTGCATGGTTCCCAGTCATGTGTGAGTTTAGTGACATTGGCATGGAGAGCTTGTTGAACGTCTGGCCGGTTAAAATAAGCATAAGCATAGTACTCGCTGCACGGGTCGAATTCGAATATCTGCAGCTCGGCAGTTCAACACAACAAAATGTTTTGAAAACAGCAGATAATAAATATCTACATGCAATATAATTAAGGGCGTTGTTTTTAACTCACTGAAGCCTTTTTGGGTTTTGCAGTGAGGTTGGAGGAAACGCATGAGGAGGCATAGATGTTGTAAATGTCAATGTAATAGGTATCCTTAGCCGCAGCATCAGCCGCATCACTGCACGCCTTAGGCTGCTTTGTGGCATTGGGTGAAAAATCACAATATTTGTTGATTTTGTTTGCAGTTTGATCCGAAATGAGGGCGTGGCTTGCTAAGTAGTCGTACATTCCTCTTGAATCAGTTTCATCGTTAATCACTGCATTTCCAATCTGCATCATGCGCCAAATAAATTTTTATTTACCCAAGAAGGGTGACAATTAGAAGTTAAAAAAAAATGGCCAAAAAAATTATCGGAAATAGAACATTATTTTATTCTTAATACTACACAAACCAAACATGGGAATAAAAGAAAATGACATTAAATGACCCTCATTTTTTAGCGTTCCTAAAATCGACAAATGAACATCTTTCATTCCCATATTCTGATATTAGACATGAGAGTTTCATTTCGAGAACCAAACTATAGAGACCTAACAATAGTGGATTTCTTACCCAATATTGTACGAGCCCGATACACACCTCCCAATATGTAGAACTTTTTTGTTTCTTTACCCAATTTATGGATTTATACTCAACCATATTCCACTTGATGCTTGCATTACACCATACAATAAGCAAATTTTATACCAACGAAAGGTAGGCAATGGGCATGATCACATGGCCCGAACCAAAGGAACCAAAGGGCCAGCCCACAGCATGTGCAACCACAGGAATCAAAAACAGAAATGATGATGACTAGACCAAGAATTATGAGAAACAAAGAGTAAAAGAGATATATGATGACAAATAGGAAAGTATTTTGCTCCACCAAATGTGGGCATTTGGCCACTTGCTAGAGGGACCAATGCAAGCATTTTCCCAAGACCTTTACAATTACAACTTTCACCAACTACCAAGAATCCAAGAATATAGTACCAAATAGTGTCTAAATTCCAATTATTATTAGCAATAGATTTGTACTTCACAATAGAGAGAGAGAGAGAGAGAGGAGAGAGAGAGAGAGAGAGAGAGAGAGAGAGAGAGAGTTACCATTATGCCCTTGAGGTTGATAATTGTCTTGTTAGCCCTCTTATTATGGTAAAGAATAGTATGTGCAAGTTGAGGTACATAATGCCCTGCATAGCTTTCACCAGAAATATAGAACTCTCTGTCCTTGTATTCTGGAAATCTCTCCAACCAATTCACCAAAAACACATAATTATCTGCAGCTGTTATTCTATCCCCGCTGGCATCATAATCAGATGTTTTATTTGAGTAAGAAAATCCAACCCCGGCAGGGGACTCAAGGAACAAAACATTAGCAGCTGAAAAAAAAAAAGGATCAATTTCTTTAAGCTTCGAAAATCATACTTTAGTCCCTTTTAACTGTGTCAGATTTACCATGGTTCCATGAAAATCTGTTTCTGTAAAGTGTTTTTCCATCGCTGTGGATTCGGAACGGTCCAAGCTCTAGCATTGCTCCATAGCCAAGAGAAGAACATCCAGGTCCTGTGAAGACATTAAGTCATTGCAACGCTTAAATTATAGACATACAGGTAATATAATTATTAAATTGCCATCAAACTAATAGATAATGTTACTGGATCCAATTCACAGAGCTTAATGCAAGAGGAAGTTATAGTCTTCACAGTCTCTCTCTCTCTCTCTACCAAAAAAATTAGATTCATTATATTAATGATAAATAATTGAGCTGCAAGTTATCAACCAAGAACTTTCTCAACGTTGAATTTTAAATTTTTTTATATTTCCCTACTGAAAAATATACAGCTACAGCTTGAGCGCCGGGATATCCTCCACAGGAGTGAATTCTGGGATTTGTTATCCCAGCCATTCCGCAAATTAAAGAGGGCGGCAGGAAGCCACCTGGGGAATGTGAATGAAAGTTGAAATGTTTCTAACAATAACAAATTTAAAATAATGAGGAATGGTAATTAATTATTGTTAAAGTAAATACGAAGGAGGGCAGTTTGTCCGTCGTGCATGAATCATTAACAGCGATTGATGGATGCAAATTCTAGCGTAAATTACGATTGACAGTGATCCATGATCACAATGCGGTGGTTGCCTGACCGAAGTCATTATATAATAATTGACCCAATTGATGAATGAGAACTATAGATTATTAACCCTTTGGTTAATAAGAACTATTATTTTCGGTACTATCAATAATTGATGAATACAATATTGGGCGTACAATATTCTTCTAATAGTCACCTCCAGCCAAAGAAAACTAGCAACGATCAAGCAAACGTGTGGTACACTACAAGGAGTGGTTAGAGTGGCTAGTACCAAACTGGAATCGTGAAATTTTCATTTATTTTGTTGGCATTTTAATGGGATACATATATATATATATATATATATATATATATATATAGTAAATACCATGAGGTGCCTGGGCCATCTTGCCCGCACCTCGACTAATCTCCACTCGTGAAACTGAGCTAGCCGCTGACCACTAGGTGTTGCAACTGTCGGGACTCGAACTGGGAAGCAAACCCAACCGAACCCCAAAGCCTTACCCAAATGGCGGACAAATCACTGGGCCACTCTTGGTGGTTTAATGGGATATATTTTCATCCCTTCAAATACCCAAAAAACTAAAAACAATAGAATTAAAGGAAAGAATGTGTATGCACGGACAAAGAGGAGATCACAATCAACCAGACATAATTTTCCTAGCAATGACAAATTATACCAGCATCATTGAGCTGGTGACGTTGACTACATTGCAAGAGTAGGAAAGTAATTTACCTCCATTGAGCCATAGAAGAAGACGTGAGGAATCCTTCGTCTTCTCCGCTTCAACAAAATAGTAAAAGAGTGCACGACCTGCTTCTTTATCCACTGTAACATACCCACCATACTGAGAGAAATTCACATGGGGTTGTCCAGGCAAGCTATCAATCCTGTCCTTCTCCTTCAACCCCTCCTGAGGATGAATTTTGGCTCCATTGGCGTGAAGAATTGCCTCGAATTGGCTTGTGTCGATGCCCGCACCTTCCTTCAACTTGGACTTGTAAAGCTGAGCAAGTGCTTGTGATTGCTTGTTCCCAAGGATTTGAGCTATGAAGCAAGAAAGAATGAGAACTAAGAAAAGAAGTAAACAAGGCTTGTTTTGCATTTTGACAGTCATATGAATTAAGGAGAGAAAAAAAGATATATGAATTACGGAGATCAGAGGCCTTGGATTTTTGGGTTTGGATGCAAAGAAGGAATGATTGTTCTAAGAAATCTCCACGAAAGGCTATGGGAGGTCACTCAGTTTTATATGACGATAGAGGGACAAGATGGTTGTGAAGAGTTTGTATGTTCTCAGTCACCAGTCATGTTATGCCATGTGAGTTGTGTTTAGGGAGTGCTTTGGTCATTTACTAACACATGCATTTTAATTTATATAAAATGAAATGATCCAACCCGACAAACGAAACAAGCCTTAGTGCAGGGCCGGCTTCTAAGGAAATCCGCTTTCTTCACAAAATTTTTTATAGTAAATTTGGCTTACACCCTTCAAATTCAATTTGCCGTACCTAAAACCCTTCACTTTTTGTTTATATAAATAATACCCAATTTGTATAAGTAAAAACCCATTACTAGGATCCAACTCAGCAAGTTACCTAATTAAGCATAAAATCTTATTTATTGTACTTTTCAGATTCCAAAAATACCCCCAACTAAGCCATTATTGCATTTTGTATATTAATGTAGAATCAATATGGAAACAATTTTTAATTGAATTGTATATAATGACAGATGTTGAATTTGGAAAGATCTCCAAATGGTTGTAATGGATGTAGGAATTAATTTTGAAACATTTTTAAAAAAATTTAACAATAAATTCAAATTTAGGTAATCGGTTTGTTTAATAAAATGTTTATGTTATTTTCTTTTTATGAATTATTCATGACTAATAATCCACTTTATAATTGTTTATGAATAAAACTGTACATACTAATTATGTTGAAAAAATAATGTACCTATTACTTGTTTGTTTTATGAAAAACATAATTTACCTAGTATGAAAAGTGTACATAATTATCTATTCCAAATAATGTACCTATACACATTTACAGGTATATTGTAAAATAATTTACCTGTGGGTAAATAATGTACCTATATTTTATATAAATTATTGTGTACCTATTTTTAATTATGAAAAATATACGCAATTACAAAGTAACTGACTTTGTTTTTTTTTTTGGGTAAATAATATACCTATATTTTATATGTATATATTTATATTTTATTTTTCATAGGTACATTATTGGATAATGTTACAGATTTATTTTTTTTTTTTTTTTTTTTTGTTTTTTTTTTTTTTTGTAATTTTTTAGGGGGGAGATGTGAGAGGGAATAACAACTAAAAGAAATGGGGTGATTGATATGCTATTAATAGGGAGTATATTAATTACAATTATGACAGTTAATGAAATGCTTGAAATAAATTATAAATAAAATATGAAGTTTGGTGGCAATGATGTAAAAACATAGAAATACTACGACCTCTTATATCCTACTAGTCATTTAAATTTGAAATTGGGTTTTACACATAGATTTATAGAGTGATGGGTATATGTCTAGGAAATAGGAAATGTAGGGATCTATATTGGACAAGCCCAATTTTTTATAACATATTTTTGGTCATGATTTGCATGGCTCCTGAAAATTTGTCCACTTCAAGATGATGAAATGACCAGAACAACAAGTTAATTCCTTCACCGTGGGACTTGAAATGGAGACCATAAAAGTTCTCTAGCTTCATTTCTTGCTCCTGTTATTTTTATTTTTGTTTTTTTTTATGGTAAAGTACTAACTTTTAGAACATATCCCAATGGTTATAATAACAACTTTACTAATAACGGACAACTTTACTAATAACGGAGATAACACTATTCTCAGCAATGGTTAAGTTAAGAGAGAATATGCAAAGTGACCACAAGTAGTTGTAGATCAAAAGTTGTAAAAGTCAATGCCTTCTTTTTGTCCTAAAATTTCCTCGCGTGAAAGAATCTGCGGCCAAAAGGCAAAAGGCAAAGGAATTTTGTATCATGTGTAATAGATTCTAAGAACCACAAGCATTCATTATATCATCCCAAACAACAAGTGTGAGCAGCACTTAAACTTTCCAGAAACATTTTAATATTTTCTTTAGGATTTTTTTATTGAGAGCGATAATAATATATTAAACTCACATACATTATACTGATGCTAAGACTCGAACCCAGTACCTTGACTGGAGGCGCAATTGCTCCAAACCACTATACTAGTGAGTCCTTTACAACGTCTAGTTTCATTCGATTTGTCATAATTGTCGCAAGTTGCAATGTGAAATTTTGACAGGTGAGAGGAGGATTTCAACTTTTAGACATCAATTTCAACTTTTAGACATCAAGTATGGCATTGCCAAAGAATTAACATTTATTATATTGTATCATTAAGAATCTTAATTATAATTTTTTTTATGACACAAGGATCCCCATCGAATTCATAAATTCTTTCTAGGGTACAATGATTTTAAGGCCCTAAATTTAAGACAATTACAATATCAAATGCAAATATGATCTCTATTACTCCCTTTCTTAGCAACTTCATCTACAATAAGATTTGCCTCTCGATAGACATGACCAATCGTACCAAACTCGAGCTATATGTAAGTCTCATAATGTCTGAGTAAATAAAAAATATTCTCCATGGGGAAAATTACCAGTCTTGTAACACTCCATCCAAGTAGGACCTGAGAATCGCCTTCAGTAATAAGAGAAGAAAATTCAAATCTTTTGGCATGTTTCAGAACCATCCCCAGCATTCAAGTCTGAAGAGAAACCAATTGGAATATTGTTCATACTACCTTTATTGTTCCATCATTATTTTGAATTACAAAACTAGTTGAAGATTACTGAACCATCAATACTTTTTTATTTTTTTATTTTTTATTTAAGTAAATGCATAGAAAGTCATGAATGAAAATAATTCATTTTCTTATAATTTTCATTACTTGTAAATAAACATGGTATTTTATTTATTTATTGAATATCCCAAATTAATCATACAAATTGTTACCTGAAAATGATGAGAAAAAGCCTTTTTTTTTCCCTTCTTTTTCCCTTGTACTTTTTCTTGGAAGAATAAAATTGACAGAAGACAAGAGGTGAGATGAGAACAGGGGATGAGGCTGTGGTGCAATGATTGATACTTGAATGTCGGCATGCAAGGAGTGGTATCTGCCTTGTAGTGCGTCTTTCGCTATCATAGTGAACATAGAAGGGATATGGATAATATTCATATGACGTATAGTATAGGATGGGTAGTTAGGGATTCCTTCCCTCAGTAAACCTACTTTTGGCATTTTGCTTGGACGGTTTGTCAAATAGGATTCAGTCAAAACGAGCTTCTGGCACGGATTGTTCAATCAATTTTAGCTAATTTCGTTTAAGAAAATTATAGGTGGGGTACTTCTTCGTATTTCTTTTCCAATAAAAATGTGGTAACTTTTTTTGTCTTTCTTCTATACATCAATATTGAACATCTCCAATAGTCTCTTTAAACTAAACCCTTTAAATTGTGGTTTGTTGACGTACGTAGCAATTTGAAGAGTAAAGTTTGCTAATTTACTGTTTTGTACCCCATCAACCTCTTCAATTAAATTTATTCAATGTTTGACTTTTCTTTTTGTTTTTAATCAAACATTATTGTTTAATTCGGTTTAATAATACCAAATCAATATTTAAATAATAATTCATTATTTTTCACTCAGCCCCATGTAGGCTTTCACCATTCCAAGACAACTCATGTTGTTCCAAAGCTTAATAAATGCGTTGGAGTGAAGGAGGAGTCCTAGATTTGGTGAGTGGGTTTGATAAAGCTGTTGGAGAAGATTTTGCTAATGTGGCTCACCTATTTTAGTGTCCCAAAGCCTTTGAAGAGGCTGCTGGAGATGCTCTAAGTGCTTGCTCTAAACCGTACTTAGTAAGTCAGTCACAATTATTAGATTGAGATCACAAATTAATCTTGATGGAGGAGTATTGTAGCCAAGGGCAGATTTACATAAGACCTTCAACCCTGTGCTAACTTTGGATAATAGGCTTAGTGGTAAAAGCTCAATGTAGGTAAATTAAATAATAGCCCACCACTCTGTGTAGAATTAAGCCCACATCTCCAAGTAGAAATAAGGCCCACGTCTAAACCATCACTATTTTTTCTTTTTTCTTTTCTAGCCACTCATAACTCCATAAATTGAACTTCGTGAGCTTAGAAGAAGTAGCTCTCCTCTTCCGAAATTCTATCAATTTCTCTTCAGTGGCTTCTTCAATCTTAGTTAGTTTCTCTCTTTCTTTTTATTCAATTTCAAATTTTAATTAAAAATTAGTTGCAATGCAGTAAACATATATCCTACTTTTCAGAAGCACTGCCACGAACTCTCCTGGCTACAGCTGAGGAAATACACAAAAATTTCATGAAATCATGGATTGCTTTGATGCTTATAGAATTGGCATGATTGAAAATTTAAAACAAAAGCAAAACAGAGTTTGTTTTTATAGGAAAAACAAAAAAGAGTTGGTGAGGGATGGCTAAACACTATTGTAACTCCAATTCGTTACGCATCGTTTTGGCACCTCAAAATTCCTGGCAAGAATCGACCAAATATATCTTGCCAAATCATCTGAAAATAGAGCTCAACATATGTTTGTCCATAACTCTTAAATGTAAGACAATTCATTGTCTTAATCCACAAAGTGTGGTCTTCAAATCATACGTGGACTCTAGAAGCTTGCCTGATCAAGAAGTAAAAGCTCAAGCTTATTGGATTATTTCTTGTACAAAGCTATTCTAATTGAAACACAAGAGCTGATAGAATTCCTTATTCTATATGGATTGAAACAACCTAATCTAATGCAAACTGAACACTCGTGTGATTCTTAATGGGCAAGGCACTTGAGTGATGCATATAAATAGAGGTCCCTTCCCTTGCAGTCAAGACAAACTCAAACAATTTCTCACCCATCTAGAAAAAGAGTATCAAGGTGCTGCATAAGTGAAGAAGATTCTCTATCAACACGATATCGGATCATGATTAGTTTTAGAGTTTAGAAGGTTAGTTAAGAGTTACATTAATTTGATGTGAAA